AACGGTATGTTCCTAAAGTTCTAACTCATGACACCAGAGTAGTGAAAGGCAGAGTATGGGGAAAACACCAGTTTGACAACACATGCAGCATTTAAAAAGAAACGCTGCAAAGTGAGAAAACACAAATGCAAAAATGTGCTTCATCCACATGCAGAGGAATGAGATACAGTTGCAAGAAAAAGTAATGGCACTGTTTGTACTTTCATGGTTTTCTGCATAAATCAGTCATTAAATGTGATCTTATCTTCTTCAAAGTCACAAATATCAACAGTCAGCAATACACAGTTAAATGTGCCAAAGAATGGGAGGATTCATTTGGAAGCTCAGTATACGAGTTAAATGATGTTTATCCATTATCCAGAGAGGGGGGTGTCAGGCCATACCATCATAAATATTCAGAGCCCCACAATAAGCAATACCATGTTCCAGACCTAACCTTCCCTACAAAGCATCCTGAACTCCTCACACAAACAAAGAGCAGATATGCGGCTTGACACACAGCATCTGCATTGGATTTGCTCAGGTTAAGAGGAGAGCCAGGTCGACTGACTTGTCCAACCACTGACACTGTTCTACCAAATTTGTCTAACAAAAGAAAACTATTAACAATTTCAGTGAATGTGTAACTATATTATTACCAACACAAGTTCTGTGTGGGTGTAGGAGCGAAGGCAAGTCCACAGGGCCATCAAGTGGGCACCCTCTCACTAACTGGTGCTTTGTTGAGTTGGGCCCACGACACCGAGAAGGCTTGGTGTGTTCCAGCGTCCCAGAGCCAACCCCCTATTTGCCTGCACCCATGCACCAAACTATTAACTTTAAATGGCCATGAGATCCGGCTGAGATGTGGATGAAGTTTGGTCTGGCGATAGACATTGCCACCCTACATATGTGTGTGAAATTACAAATGATTTGATAACCTTTGACAGAGATCTAAAATTTTGCCCCATGTTAAAGATAGGGATTTTAATGTTTTTTTCAATCCTGATAACCAACCAAAAAACAAACACACACAAAACAAAAAACATTACTTTTTAAAATGACCAACTGAGTAGTGGTTGTGTAGGGTGGGCTGGGGGCAGTAAGACTATAAAAAAGGCCTAACTGACAAAGGGGAAATGAATTGGCACAGATTTTAAATAACAAGCCTATACATTTTTTTAATGTTATTTTTTTATGATAAAAAGAGAAATAACAAGAGTCAACGGTATGTTCCTAAAGTTCTAACTCATGACACCAGAGTAGTGAAAGGCAGAGTATGGGGAAAACACCAGTTTGACAACACATGCAGCATTTAAAAAGAAACGCTGCAAAGTGAGAAAACACAAATACAAAAATGTGCTGCATCCACATGCAGAGGAATGAGATACAGTTGCAAGAAAAAGTAATGGCACTGTTTGTACTTTCATGGTTTTCTGCATAAATCAGTCATTAAATGTGATCTTATCTTCTTCAAAGTCACAAATTCAACAGTCAGCAATACACAGTTAAATGTGCCAGAGAATGGGAGGATTCATTTGGAAGCTCAGTATACGAGTTAAATGATGTTTATCCATTATCCAGAGAGGGGGGTGTCAGGCCATACCATCATAAATATTCAGAGCCCCACAATAAGCAATACCATGTTCCAGACCTAACCTTCCCTTAACACAAAGCATCCTGAACCCTGTCCTCACACAAACAAAGAGCAGATATGCGGCTTGACACACAGCATCTGCACTGGATTTGCTCAGGTTAAGAGGAGAGCCAGGTCGACTGACTTGTCCAACCACTGACACTGTACACACCCTACATATGTGTGTGAAATTACAAATGATTTGATAACTTTTGACAGAGATCTAAAATGTTGCCCCATGTTAAAGATAGGGATTTTAATGTTTTTTTCAATCCTGATAACCAACCAAAAAACAAACACACACAAAACAAAAAACATTACTTTTTAAAATGACCAACTGAGTAGTGGTTGTGTAGGGTGGGCTGGGGGCAGTAAGACTATAAAAAAGGCCTAACTGACAAAGGGGAGATGAATTGGCACAGATTTTAAATAACAAGCCTATACATTTTTTTAATGTTATTTTTTTATGATAAAATATTCAATCATTCCAGGGTTACTTATATTATTGTGCACCTTTTTTTGGCTGTTTACTGTATTTGCAGCATGTTTCTATATTCTGTTGTTTGCTCACTTTGATGTATATATGTTTTCATAATTTGCCTTTTTCCTTATTTGTATGTGTTTTTTTTTATTTATTCCAGTGCATTGAAGTATCAGGGTGACAGTTCTAATGAGCTTATAGTGAAATACCATGTTTACCTCATGTATGTTGAACTGTGTACCAGGCTATGAGATCCATGGGATGGAAAAAATCCCTGACAAAGGACCGGCACTGATAGTGTACTATCATGGAGCCATTCCTATTGACTACTACTACTTCCTGGCCAATGTTATCATTCAGAAGGGACGGACCTGCCACTCTATAGCTGACTACTTCATCTTCAAGGTCCCAGGTAGTCACACTGGTCCACATCTGTGAAATGGTTACACTGCCAATTTCCACAGCTGCTGGTCTCATTGCAAATACAATGTATGTTTTGGTTTCTTTTTCTTTTTATTGTTTTTAGTAACTTCTGTCACACAAATTAATTTTTAAGCTAGCTAAATCCTAAAACTCCAGCTTCATCTCAGACATAAAAGCCCACTGATTAAACTTTCATGTATGCATTATAGTCTTCACCATAAAGTGCTCTATGGCCTTAATTTTGAAGGTTGTGGAACAGAAAATGACTGTAAACAAAATAGAAAAACAGGGATGAGCTGTGTGTAAAATGGTCAAAATTGAGAAAAAGAGATCAAACCCCAACATTAGAAAAAGTGAAACGCTGGATTTGTTTATATATCCATGAAAGCTAGTCACCAAAAGGGTTCAAAGGCTGCCTTTGCTTTCATTGTTAACCCGGCAGATCCTAAAACCATTTAAACACCTGGCCAAGATGGCAGCCATGCAAATTTACAACATATTGTAATTATAATAATAATAATACTTTATTTATATAGCGCTCTACAACTCGAAAGGAGCACAAAGTGCTTCACAGCAAGACATGAACACTAGAAAAAAACAAAAACCTGAAATAAATTAAAACACAGACAGAAACAGAGGGGAAACTCCATATTGAAGTATAAATAACATAGAACAACAGGTTAAAAAATCTCTCCGTGGAACGAGTTAAGTACTGAAGGCCTGCCTAAAGAGATGAATAATTCAACACATACAGCACAATATACAAAAAAATCCATTCACAAGATAAAGACAGTGGACTCAAGAAAAACAGCTACATGTCTCTACCACATTCTTTATTATGTCCATAAATTCTACCGTACTTATGAATGCTTCTAACTTTAAGGTACATAGTAGGCAAATGCAGTTTTCCTCAGATCTGTAGAAATTAAAAAGTAGCCACCTGGCAGCGGGTAATCACCAGAGCTGAGACAGAAGAAGGTGCAAAGATAGGCTGCAGGTTTACCCAGTATTGCTTTATAAATAAAAATATACCAGTGTTGTTGTCTACAAAGAGTCAGTAATGTTTTAGTTTTTTTCTATTAGCATTATAAGTAAAAGAAGATTTATTTCTGAAATAAAAGTCTTCACCTTAAGCTTCTTAATTCAATTAGCAATATGTACATTGAATAAAAGCTTGTCATCTAATCATATCCCCAGGTAGTTGTAGGAGAACACTTGTCGTTTCATACCCAATCTCATCCTGTCCCATTCCTCCAGGTTTTAAGTTACTTTTGGAGGTGTTCAGTGTGTTCCATGGTCCCCAGGAAGAGTGCGTGCGGGCTCTGAGGAATGGTCACCTGTTGGGGATTTCTCCAGGAGGAGTTAGAGAGGCTCTGTTCAGTGATGAGACCTACCCTCTTCTCTGGGGCAAACGCAAAGGCTTTGCCCAGGTCGCCATCGACGCTCAAGTAGTGCGTTGTTACTTCTGAAATCTACTGGCTTTGTCTATCAGTGCTTTTATTAAAGCTGCAGCCTGGAGTGCATGACATTGTACTTTATACCTGTAGACACAGTAAATTTGCAGTTTAGACAGGTTTAAAATGTGTTGGCACACATTGACCGACTCCTGCAACACAGTCTGAATCCTGCTGCACTTGTTAAAATTGGAATGATATTATTTATGGGGTGTATGCGTTACCATACTGCAGGGCATGTCCTACATCCATTAACATTTTCATGTGTCACTTTTTGGTTTGTCTCATTGACTAGATGCACATCAGTTTTATCAGTTCCTTTAAATGAAACTTGGCACTACAGATTAATATTAATCTCCATTAATTATATGACTTGTCTGAAAATAACAGATCAGACTTGCGTGTCCTGGCAGGAGTGATCACTACATTAATTTTTCTACTACTTATGTGAACAAAGTTTTTGCATGTTTTAGGGACTGAAATGCAAGTACAGGTGATCAGCAGGAGTGTATTAGAAATCTGAATCTGGCCTTTGTGCAGAGCATTCTGGCCCCTACAAAATGGTCACATAGTAAGGAGGTGATTCACCGTTATAGAACTATAGCCATATAGCTGTCACACTACAAATTCAAGGTTTGCAACTTATTTAGTCAGAAAATTGCCGGCAGCACTATAAAAACAGACCAGTAGCCATCATTTTTATTTATTAATCTTTGCCACATATTATTCTCTACGTGTAGCAAGTCCTCCTCTCTAACCTTCTCTTTCTCCCGCTGTTGCTTTCTTTCAGCCAGTAATTCCAATGTTTACTCAAAATGTGCGGGAAGGCTTCAGGTCTCTGGGAACACTCAGTAAGTGTGGAAGAAGGTTCAGTCATAAAGATAATGTCACCGAAGTGGTGGTATCACTGATGGACACACCCCTTGGACTTAGCACACAGGAAAACGCACAGGTCATTCCATACACACATTGTATTTGACATTGTTGTGTGGAGCATTTAATGATACATGAAAATGTACAGTAGTTATGTCGGTTGATTTGGAATCTGCTGGTAAGCTGTTCATTTGTCATTGTCTGCAGTCTTAGTGTGTTACCCTGCTCTTCCATCCAGGATTTTTCCGCTGGCTGTATGAGAGGTTTCGTCTCCCTGTAGCCCCTGTTTATGGTGGATTTCCAGTGAAGTTTCGGACCTTCCTTGGTGATCCCATCCCTTATGACCCCAACATAAATGCAGCAGAGCTGGCAGAGAAAGTGAGTCGGCTAAAGCTGTTGCATTTCTAAGAACAGCTTTTTTTTCTTTCTTTTTTACTCATGTGCTTTTCTCTTCACGAGGTTAAAACTATGCTTGTGTTGAGACACTTAAATCTGCTTTTTTAATAACATTGTATTTGCCTAAAAAAAAAAGCATCGTTGAATCAGTGTGCCCAAACAGAACACAAACCAGTCGACATTTGATCATATTTTTAAGGAATGTTAAAGACAACACAGTAGCTGGAGTTACAGGGATGCTTAATGGAGATGGGTAAACAAACCAAATGCACATATGCAAAACCAGCCAGATCATCGCAACCATTAAACTCTTTTTTTTCTTGCAAAAGTAGACCGCGGTGTTTGAAAACACTTTGAATAAAGTACAAATCTCACTTTTATGTGTCTTATCCTAGTAGATTTTGTTGTCTTTTTATCCTGTCTGCGCCACAGTTTTCTAAATAGTGTTGTCGGACCTTATACGTCCATCCATTGGACAGTCCCAGTTTACTCATGGGGGGAAGATTGAGCAAATTGCTGCTTGGCACACCAAAATGAGGAGGAGAATACCAGCTGGGGCTGCCTTCTATTGTAATGCACACTGGCTGCCAAAGAATATAATAAAATAAAACCAAAGGTTCTACTGGAAGATTCTCAGTCAACTGATGGCTCTCGACTATATTTATTCCAGTAAGAGAGAAATGATCAGATCAGGTGTTTACATGGCTACTATTTTCCTATTGAAGAAATAAGAGGTTTAACTCCCTCGTTTCAATTGAAAATTCTTACCGATCGAGCCAGATTGGGCCAGTCTGTTCCGGCTGAGGTAGTTGCTGTACATGATGCATTTTTATTCTGATTGAGCTGTTGCTCCAATTATTAGTGCAACATTAGGGTTCGTGTAAGCACAACTAATTCTGTTTAAAAGATGGACAAAGGCTAAAGTTTTGATAATCATGGTGGTGCTAAAGAAACATCTTGCGGTGTTATTATGGTCTGTGCAGGGTCAGAAAGCTTGGTCAGTGGCTGGTTTAGATTCAAGATTCTGTTGCTTATGTTGTTTTTGCTCTGCAGGTACAGCAGGCAGTCCAGTCTCTGATAGACCAGCACCAGCAGATCCCAGGGAGCATCCTGAGAGCCTTGTTGGAGAGATTCCACACCAAACACAAAGGCCATTAACCTCAGCAGAATAACAAGAGACAAACTGCCCAGTGGATGTGACTATGCAGATAACTGCTTGCAATGGTAGACTGTAACAGCAAACTGAGTTTTTACATCTTCAGTTTCACTCGACAGTGAGGTAACTGTGGAACACACTCTGATTCCTGGGATCAGACTGCAGGGTCAGTCTAGAGTCTCAACAGGCAGCGTTGAACCATCTCTTGGTCATTTGTGAAGCTGTAGTTTATGTTTATGTCTTCACTTATACTATATTGTAAGGTGCTTCTATTATTTTGTCCATAGTTGCACCAATTATGTGTTGATATTTCTAATATAACTGACTTTTTTTTTTAAAAATGAACCAAATGAGAAATGCATACAGATGAGTCATGATGTGATGATTTCTACATAGAAGATGGATGTGAAGGCCTTAAATTCTGCTGAAGTAATTTATCAAAAGTTTTATTGTTTGTTTGTTTGCTAGTGAATTGTGACCTGACCTCTGTTACCTGAGGGATTTCTTCTCAAATGTCCAGGTGCACCTTAAATCCGGACTTAACAGTTTGTATGGACAGTAAGTTGTCAGTGTCAGAACATCTCATGTTCGTCTACCCTTTAATATTTTGATTTTGGGTTGTCACTGTTACCTGAGGCAAGAGTTATGGGCATGTTCTGAAGCCATTTGTATAGCAACACAAAATGAATCAAAAAAGGTGGCAGTCACTACTCTTTCAGTTGCTGTCCATCAATATCAGACTGATTATACAGAATAATGGACTATTAGACATTACTTTGCACTTCAGGAACTACAGTGATGTACATTTTACACTCTTTTTATCCATTTTATAGATTTAACAAGTAATTGATCAATTGAAAGAGGAAAAAAATCAAGTCATTATTCAGTAATATAAGTATTCATCGCAGCCCTAAAAATAACAGTGGACTTTGTTGTGTCATACCTCTGAAGATGCCATATTGAGCTGACAGGAGGCCATTTGTTAGAGCTGATGCAGTAGGTGTCTTTTATCAGCCAGTCAAGCTGGGAGACAAACACAAGGGACAAACTAAGACTAGAATCAGACTAATAGGGCTGTATTAAAAAAAAAAACACCTGAGATGCAAGTACAGAATGTATTAAAACAAATGATTAAAGGCAATAAGGTAGATGAAAGATGTCAGTTAATTTAGCTATTAACCCAAAGCCAGGCAATAAAGTAGCTTGTTTTAAATTTATATTTGAAGATATCAGCATTTTCAGCTCCTCTCACAACAAGACCTGAAGTGTGAAATCAGTGGGGTGCCCTTCTGAGAAAACCTTCCCTCAAACCTTCAACAGAAAGAACTATAATTAAAGGAGGGAGAATTGCAGTGACCGGCAAAGAGGCTCCAGTTGAAAAAGATCACTGCAGAAAAATGTTGCAAACTTCAGACTGATTTGTACAGTTCTGTCTCTGCAGCTCACAGTCTGTGGACAGTGTGTTACTTTGAGTGACCATTAAAACCATCAATATCCCCTCACAAAAGTCCAGCATCTTCTCACTGTGTCTGTCAGTACAAATACCATACATACTTGGTAAAAGTGATGAAATATAATCACTTATCCATTCTTTGATCTTCAGTGCTTTATCAGCAGTGTTGTAAACTAATCATTTGTTATGTACAGTTTGAATTTTATTTGTCCAAACTGTGGATTGGAGATGAAGTAATACTCTCTTGTTCATTTGTTTTTATATATAAATATATATTTGCATGTATAATTAAATTTTATAAGTCAGCAAATTGTTTTGCACATGTAATCTTTAAATTATCACTGCCAACTCAGAGTTTTTAATTTTTAGAGAAGCCTTTGTGAGACCGAGTGGGATTTTGAGTGATCTTTAACTGGATGCTTTAGTTCTGTGAACTGGTTGCCTTTTTCCATATTTATTAGTTTGGAGATGATATAACATGCATTTTTAAATTGTCAATGTAGTATAAATGTTGCACTTTTAAATATGGAGATCCACTTGAACCTGTTAATAAATGTATTTTATTAAGATCTCATTTTTTTAAAGTAATTTTATCATCCCTGTTTCTGTTTGTAGTGTGTCTGATTAACTAGTTTGGTAAATAATGAAAATGTGTGTCAGGTGATGCTATTACCTGATATACCAGGTGCATGATAGTGAATGTCAGGAAGGAAATGGTTAATGATTTATCCACACTATAGCAAAAAGCTTTACATTTATTTCAAATATTTGTTAGGAGTACATCAAATATTTTAGCTGTTTGACTATTAATAGGGAGGCAAAGTTGGAAGACTCGGAGGAAGCCTCACCCATATCTCTGGCAGAGGTATCTGAGTTAGTCAAAAAGCTCCTCGGTGGCAAGGTGCCAGGAGAGGATGAGATTTGCTTTGAGATGTTGACCTGTCTTGGTTGACATGCCTCTTCAGTGGCACATGGAGGATGGGAACATTGCTTGAGGACTGGCACACTGAGGTGGTGGTTCCAATTGTTGAAAAAGGGAACCAGAAAGTGTGCTCCAATTATCAGGATATCACACTACTTAGCCTCCCTGCAAAAGCCTATGCCAGTGTGCTGGAAAGGAGGCTCTGACCGATTGTCGAACCTCAGATCCAGGAGGGACAATGCGAATTGTGTCCTGGTTATGGGATCTTGGGAGTTTACCCATCCAGTTTACATGTGCTTTATGGACTTGGAACAGCTTCCTGTGGGATCTTGTAGAGCGTACTTGGGGAGTATGGGGCATTGGGGCCATTGGTATGAGCCATCTGGTCCTTGTGTAACCAGAGTGAGAGTTGTGTACTCATGCTTGGCAAAAAATCAAACATGTTCCTAGTTGGTGCTGGTCTCCATCAGGGTTGTCCCTTGTCGCTGATCCTGTTTGTGATTTTCATGGACAAGATCTCAAGGTGCAGCTGCAGGGAGGAGAGTGTCCAGTTTGGGGATCTCAGAATTGCACCTCTGTTTTTTTTGCTGATAATGTGGTTTTGCTGGCTTCATCAGACTGTGGCCTCCAGCACACACTGGGGCAGTTTGCAGCCAAGTGTGAAGCAGCAGGGATGAGAGTTAGCATCTCCTTTTCTGAGGCCATGATGCTCTGCTGGAAAATGATGGACTTCTCGCTCCAGGTAGGGAGTGAGTTGCTGCCCCAAGTGAAGTAGTTTAAGTATCTTGGGGTCTTGTTCAGGAGTGAGGGTAAAACTGAGCCAAGATTGACAGGCAGATAAGGGTAGTATCAGCGGTAATGCAGATGTTGTACTAGACTATTGTGATGAAAAAGTAGCTGAGCTGAAAGGCAAAGCTCTCAATTTACCAGTCAGTCTACACTGAAACCTCACCAATGGTCACAAGCTGTGGGTCGTGACCAAAAGAATAAAATCATGAATACAATCGGCCAAAATGAATTTCTTTCACAGGGTGACCAGATTTACTCTTAGAGATGGGGTGCAGATCTCTGCTGCTCCTTCACATTGAAAAGAGTCAGCTGAGGTGGTTTGGGTATTTTATCAGGATGCCTCCAGAGGTGTCCAACTGGTAAGAGACCCTGGGGTATAACAAGAACATGTTAGAGAAATGGTATATCTCAACTGGCCTGGGAAAGCCTTGGAATCCCCCCAGATGACTTAGAAAATGTTGCCAGGGAGAGGAACATCTAGACTTTCTTGCTGAACCAGCTACTGTGACCCAGTCTTGGAAGTGGAAAAAAATGGATGGACTCTTAATAAAGTATTTAGTCTCTTATCAGTTGCAAGAAAAACTAATGGTATTCTTTGCAGTTTTCTGCATAAATTGGCCATCAAATGTGATCTGATCTTCACCAAAGTAACAAATATCAACAAACAACATTTCTAAGCTGATAAAACACAAACAGTCATGATCTTTCATGTCTTTATTGAACACACTCATTAAACATACATAGGGATGGTGTACAAAGTAATGGCAACATGAGGCTTCTGATGCCACTAAATGTCACCCGGACATCAGGTGCTAGCAAACCTGGAGTCCAGTCAATGAAACGAGCATCAGCTAATGTGAGCCAGGCCTCACAAAAAAGAGATCTCAGAAGACCTACAGTCAAGGGTTGTAGCATGTAGCTGGTTACAGAGTCATCTCAAAGACATTATACATTCATCGGTCCATAGTTAGACACATTGTCTATAAATGGAGATGATTTGGTACTGTGGGTACTCTCCATAGAAGTAGGCACCCAGCCAAGATGAAATGAAGATAGAAGTGCCTGGGAAGAACACACAGCACTACATATGATGTAAAAAGAGAACCGCATACTAACATGAAAACATCATCCCAACAGTGAAGTACGATGGAGGGAGCATCATGATGTGGAGCTGCTTTGCTGTCTCTGGACTTGGACTACTTGCCACTGTGGAGCACAAGATGCATTCCCAGGTTTATCAAGGCATCCTACAGGATAATGTCAGGGTGGCTGTCGGCAAGCTGAAGCCCAGAACAAGCTGGGTGATGCAGCAGGACAATGACCCTAAACATCAAAGTAAATCTACTACAGAGTGGCTTCTGAGACACAAAATCCACCTTTTGGAGTGGCCCAGTCAGAGCCCAGACCTCTTGCACATTGTGCAGGTCTAATCCACAGGTACAGGAAGCACTTGCTTGAGGTTGTTGCTGCCAAAGGTGGTTCAACCAGTTATTTAAACATTGTTGCCTTTAATTTTTCCACCATTACTTTGTATGTTTAATGGATGTGTTCAATAAAGACAAGAAAGATCATGACTGTTTGTGTTTTATCAGCTTAGAAATACTGTTTGTTGATATTTGTAACTTTGGTGAAGATCAAATCACATTTGATGGCTAATTTATGCAGAAAGCCAGGAAAGTGCAGACAATGCCATTAATTTTTTTTGCGACTGTATTATTTTTCTTTGATACAGTTGATGGTGACCTCATTTATTTTAATCAAATGTTTTTGATCAAAACCTCTTTAAAAATAAAAAAAGTACATAAAATACCAGGAGTGGTGGGAGAAATATTTATATCCTGAAGTTAAAATAGTAGCATTGCTTGTATTGCACAATATGCTTCCTCTGGATAATAATACTATTGTAGGTCAGTGCTGCCACCTATTGACTCCCATTTTCCAGAATCACAATAACATTATTGGACAAGTTTGGACGAGGAGTTCAACTCCTGGTTGTGATTTGCACAGTTTCATGAATAACATAAGGATATTTACTAATGTGATTGAAAGGGTGGTGTGGTCTGGCTGGTACTGTGCTGTACAAGTGGTGCACTGTAAGAAATTCTGGGACACTCACTGGAATGTATGATAAATTAATGAGCATATTCTACACCGTCTGAAAATACCA